TCTCTTATTTTGTTTGTTTTTAGTTATACAGGTATCACTAAGGCTTCTGTTTATCAGATGTTATAAGTTACTAAACGTTTACTTTCTTTTGTGATGTCCTTGCTTATGCAAAATAAATTTGAACTTGAACTTGAACTTGAGACGTCATCCAAATCTACACCGTATTTTCTGATAGAGTTATGATCATTTTGCTGAAAGTAAAAAGAAGAAAGTGAGTTTCGCGTTGTAACATTCCTGATTCAAAACTTCTTTTTTTTGCTAGTGCACTCAATAAAATCCGAACTAGTTAACTTCAAATAATATATACCAGCAATGATAAAGTAAATTTTCTTTAATTTGGCATATGCCGAGATTTCTGAAGAAAAAAAAGAAAATAGTCGTTTGAAAACACCTGAAATCAGAGGAAATAATAATAATAAGGCTCCCATTTAAATGCTAAGTAAAAAGTTATTTTTTTTTAAGTAATTTATTAAAAATAATTATATTTTTTGCAGAGATGTTGTTTAGTAGCGCACTCTCATGCTCTCCACGCATCTCCCCCACAACTGCCCCCGGGCACACAAAAATATAGCTTACTAAGATAGGAATTAACAAAAATTAACTTAGCATTTAATAAAACTACTTAGCAAAAAAATAGTTGCCTAATAATAATTCTAACGAGACAACAACGTATTATATCCAATTGTCAATTCACAAGGAGCTTTCCTAATGGAAACAATACTATCATTGAAAGACTAACAACAACAACAACTACAAGTTTCCTGAACTTTAAGTTAACTGAATTTTGCAACCAGTAGTTATAACTCTCTCAACTGCAGTTATATCGATCAACTTGAGTTCATAGTTATAACTTTGTAAATTTTTGACTAAAAGTTAAATTAGTTATAACTCACCGATTTTTCGATTCCGTAGTCTTACATGAAAAAGAATTTTTTTTTCGCAATCTTAATTATATATTATTCTTATCAAACAAATCTAAAGGGCGACGTTGTATTAGGGTTAAAAAATATACGAGAATTCTTAACTCAACTTCAACTTCGATATAAAGCCCTGTCTACAATTGTTAGAATACGTGGCCACATACGGATTAATAATTTTTTCTTTATTCCATCGAGAGAGACGTATTTTCTGTCTTCGTCTTTTCTCCACTACTTAAAAAAGTGGTTTCATCCGTTTTCATCAGTCTATATCTGCAGATTTTGACTACACAATAACGAAAACCGCAAGTTTGTGTTCTTTCGTTCCGATGTTATTCAAAAAAACTAGTGAAGATATATAAGGAGAAAAGTTAAAATGTTTGTACACTTGTTTATTATAAAAATATTAGACAGTATACATCAGACAATCAAGAGATTCTTGTAATTATCATAACTTTCTATTTAAATTTTTCACATTCAATTTAATTTAACCCCATTTGAATATTTTATCGGCCATAGTCCTTTCATCCATTAAATATTTCGCTGAGACAGGATGTTTGAGAAATACACCTCGTAACAAATTAATTACACCACGACATTCTTTATTCGATTGACAATTATGAAAATATTTTTCTCGTAATCCGTTGGCTTCTATAAGAACTAAATAATAAAAATAAAACAATTTTTTTTTTATACAATTGTTTTTCTATTTTTCTTACTATCTTCCCATCCAGGTTCATCTGGCACTATCCATTCATGATTGTTGATTACTAATCGTTGTACGTTAGAACGTGATGATACATACGTTAACAAAATCAATTCAATACTAAGGAAAAAAATGAATATTTTCATTAAAACAGACTAAAATAAAATTTTATATTGGAAAAGCGGATGAATTCTTTGTATCTGATTATAATAATAGTTAGTTACAGAAAGTTGTACGTTTTTTCGAAATTTAATTCTTGAATATCGTAGGTGTATGAATTAGACGGAAATCGTATGTTGTTTTTGAAACTATATGAAATTACTTTGAATAAGTTATATTTGTTTTCTATATGCTACAAACACACATAAAACACGTTAATCATCTATTCTATATTTACTTAATCACATTTGAAATTGACTTAAATATTTAGTAACTGTAAAAATAAATTTTAATTTCCTTTCTATTACTATGTTTCTTTTCGATAGAAAAAAAAAGAGATAGAATAGTATCACGAATAATGATCGTGAAACAGAAATAATAATTGGCTAGATTCATTGGTAGTAGTGACAATGAAAATTTCATTGCTCTTTTTTCTTATTTTTTTGATGAAATTGACCAATAATAAATTTATTTGGACATTTTTACTCCTTCAGTGACGAGAATGACAGAGATGGACGAGTTCGAGTAAATACTCGTGCTACACATTTTACTCATACCCGCGACTGTTTTTAATGCATATTCGAAAAAGTACTCAAGTATTCGAATGAAAACCTGTTTAACTAAAAAAAACAGGAATTCAGAAGAGACTGATCGATATACGATCATCACACAAAACACATTTTCGAAAAAATTCTTTTTTTTTTAAAAAAATTTGTACTCGAGTAAAACTGTTTTGTACTCGTACTCGAAAAAGTGTATACTCGCCCACCTCTGGAGAATGACTTAGTCCTGATCCGTCCACCTGGGATCCATGCGGATTCCATATGAAAACGAGTGCTTTGAAGATACATCTTACTGCTCTGCCAGATAACTAATGAGTGGATGCAATCAGTTCATATTGATAGTACACTTTATTGTCATTCAATGGAATATAAATTGAAGGGGTAAAATCTAGCCGTTGTGTTCAGGCAGCATCCAAATGAAACCGGTAAAATTTGGGCATATTATAGATGGTCGGATCAGGTTTAAAACAAATAAATAAATAATTATGTGAGTAAACAAATCAATAAAATAAAATTTTGAAATTTGTTCCCATACTGACTATACAAAAGAATAGGAAATCATTCAGTATAGCGGATTATTTTTCATCACTATGCTCAAACTATTAGTCAAATTTTCTAAAGGTATAATATCGAAAATGATATATTGATGAGTTTGGAATGAATACGTTACTTTTAAAAAATAAATTAGTTTCGATATTTTTTGTTTATCTCCATAAATTCTACAGAAAAAGTCACTGTTTTAAGCCAAACAAATGGAACTCTTATCCGTAACAACGGAAAACTAACTTAGTAGAAGGATTTGCTATCTGTTACAACTGTGACTGATGTCTATTCACTTTTTCTCCAAGAAAGTACTAAACTTTTAATTGCAAAACTTTTTCTAAAGAAATAGATAGTTTGTATTTTTCTAAAAATACTCCTATTGATATCAGAAATTTGCAGAGTGTTTTTCTTCATTCAAAATGTTCCATTTTGGACTCTAGTTACTAAAAAAAATGTTTACATTAAAGTAAAATCTCGAAAACAATGGAGTTTTGAAGATAAAAACTGAAAAACCTGCGAGATTTAACTTATTTTAAAGCTTAAGTGACTAAGAATGGATAATAAATGAACAGTGTGCATTTGTGATTATTAAATTTCAGCTCAAGGAGTATCAGTATATAAGATACTGTAAGATCTAATAAGATCATATGGATTCTTGTCGTAAGATCTTCCAAGATCTGATTGTACGAAGGAATAAGGTGTTATAAGATGCTATGACAAGAATTCATATGATCTTGTAAAATCTTGTGCCAGATATTGTTGACTTCTATACATTTTCTTGTCACAAGATTATATAAGTTCTTACAAGATCATAGGAATTCTTGTCATAACATTTTACAAGATCTTATAAGGCCGGTGACTCATATGTACCACATAAATTTTGCGACGATATACAATATATACCCAGGTCAAAAAATCAGATCAAGATCACGGAAAATCATACAAGAATCGTACGAAATCTTACTATAAGATCGTACATCAGAATCAGTTTTTATGTTTCTTACAGAATCTTACAAATTCCCAGGTCAAAGAAGCTTGTTGTAAGATCTTATAAGATTCTTGTACGGTTCTGTCTGATTTCATACGATTCGTATAAGAACTTGTAAGATTTTGTAAGAAATATAGAAACTGATTCTTGATGTAAGATCTTATAGTAAGATTTCATCAAATTTCGTCAGATTCTTATATGATTTTTATAAGATTTTATCAGATGAATCCGTTTCTATGATTTTCCGTAAGATTTTCTAAGATTGTGTAAGATCTGGGTTCTTATAAGAATCTTACGAAATAAAACGAAATCGTACAAGAATCTTGTAAGATCTTACAGTAAGACTCTTTGACCTGGGTAGCATCATTCGCTCTGAAAAACATTTTTCTCTTGTCAACTTCACCCAGATCAAAGAATCTTACTGTAAGATCTTATAAGATTCTTGTACAATTTCGTCTGATTTCGTAAGATTCTGTCAGAAACATAGAAAACTGATTCTTGATGTAAGCTCTTATACTAAGATTTCATCAGATTTCGTAAGATTCTTGTATGATTTTTATAAGATCTTATACGATCATACAAGATTTTGCACATTCCTATGATCAGAAAAATCTTATAAGAATCTTGGTACAAGATGTTATATGAAATCTTGTAAGATCTTATAAAATTGATAAGAATTTATAAGATCTTTCGAAATCTTATGATTTTTTATCATATGATCTTCCAAGATCTTGTTATCTGATCCTTGTACTTGAGTTGTCGAATTCATAGCTTCACAATATCATTCAGGATCCTTTGTTTTCGACGACTAATCGTGTTCGATATGGCCCTACTTTTGTTCAACGCAACGTTTCCGGATTCATAAAAACTTCGAGAAATGCCAGGTACTCGTGTATGTACGAACATCAAACTTTTAAAAATAGAGATACGGTTGGGACTCGGGCGATCGTCGAAGCAGCGATCCCGATCAGAGGGCTGGAAGTCCCTCCCTGGAATTTCTGACTCCGTAAAAGTTTTTGTCTTGACTTTGTATGCCATAAAAAATGTATGGCATAAAAAACTATTTTTTATGTCAACTTTTCTGTATTTCTGTGTATTAAGTATTTCCCTTCTCACTGGTTTATTTTATCGTTTCGAGTTGAGGAGCAGAAATAAAAGTTTAGATTTTAAGACTTGATCGGCTGTAACACCCTTATTCATTTTAACATGTTAAGACTCCGATTAAAAATAGAATGAAAATGAGAGTTCAAAATTACAAAAATTTGATCCATTTATGCAGCCGTTACCCAATAAAACTGCTTTGCAAAGAACATTGCATTAAAGCGAAGACAGAAATATAGTTGTGTATATATATGTACATCGAGTTTTTCTTTCTTTCGTTCAATAAAATCATTTTATTTGTACTTTACCCTTAATAAACGAAACGAAAAGTAAAGCAACGTTGAGTAATAAAATCATTCTATTTTTTGCTCCATCACTTCCGCAAGATATTTTTATAAGCCTTCCACCACAATTATAGCTCCCCCTGGCTATAAAACAATCGGAATCCCTGCGTCGGAGTTTGAACGGATATAAGTCTAAAAAAATCTAAAACTGCATGGTTCTAATACTCGACCATCGAAAAGATGTAATTTTCAAGAAAAAGCGATTGCGAATGATGTGATAACGACTAGAAACGATCGTTACAACTTTATATTAAATGAAATATGAACAGGTCTTTTTCGATAATGACGTTATCATGTCATGGATACAGACTATATAGTGAATATAGAATAGACATTGTCGTTAATTCAATAAATATTTATAGTGACCAATATAACTTGAACACACTACACGTAGACAAATATCTATACGAAAACTCTTGTGCGTATTTATGTGTATATTTCTTTGATTAAACGGATAGTAAGTTTTATTATTAATATACATATATTCTATTAATAAAACAAGTGCCGAAAACAAACTGCTTATTAGTGCACATATGAAGTTCAAGATATTTTCGTTCCGGTTCTGACAAATTCAATCTCAAATCCATGTTATGTAAAAATTGATTCGAAGAACGGTTAATAGAAAAACAATGATATCACCGAACATACTTTTGCTGTCAATAATACTACTCTACACTTCAGTGTGGCATGTTAATTCAGCAATGGTATGTAGAGCGAATCATGACATATTCGAAGTGAAAGAAAGGTCTAATAGAATATATCATGCCTGCATATTTCCAGAACTAGCTAAATTTGATCTACAACTTTTAGCCAATGTCATTCCTTGATTTATTGATAAACGATGATGAAAGTGTTCATGAAAAACTTCATCGTGTACCACGAGCACACGCTACAGATACTGATGAAGAGCAAGACATTTCTACATATTCATCATCTAACAGTGGCAAAGAAAAGGAGGAAAAAGCGACGGTTCATGAAGATGATGATGATGATGATGATAATGATGATAATGATTATAATAATGAAAATGAGAAAGAGTAGCTGAATAATGCAACATATTTTATTTGATCTTATATTAGTTTGACTTTTTTTAGTAACAATGATGGTTCGAATATTTTCGATCATATATTTCATTCATTCCGAGGATTATTTCATGATCATCATAATCACCATAAAAAAGCTATGACTAAATCGATCAGAGTGCAATTGACGGATACGAAAAAACATCACGAAGAAATGGTATCATCGCCATCACATGGCCAAATGATATTTCGCATTCTATCAATGCCAAAACATACTGAAACTAAAGTGTTCAAAGTTCATTCTGGTTCGGTTGACAAAAAACTGGCTGAAGAGGAAAAACAAGATCTCTTTTCACCATTTGCTTTTAATGATGATAGTATGATGTTGTCACCAATGTTAGCACACATCTCTAATCCGTTTATGGCACCAAATTCACCACTTTTTCGCTCATTTGCCAATACTATGAAAACTGATAGAAAACAATCACCAAAAACGAGAATATCCGTAACAATGTTGTTACGAAAACCAATGGCAACACATGATGGTGAGGATTTACTGCTGTTAACTGATGCATTGATAGTTCACACTTGTATAATTTAGTCGACGATGGTGATAAAGACAAAAAAGAGGATAAAGAAAGTGAAAAAACGGAAACAAAGTCAAAAAATGGTTTATTTTCACAAATTCGCTCACACAATTTATCATCCAAAGATAGTGATGAAAAGTCAGATGATGATGATGATGATGATGATGATGATGATGATGAACCGGTCACAACCAGCCCAACAACGACTACAATAATAACAACAATTGAAAAAACGGGTATGATAAATGCTACTTCCTTTGATCAATTTTTCCAATGTATTTTTGTTTGAAAAAGATCTCTGCCTTTTCAGGTGAAAATGATGAGAAAAAAGAATCAGATGATCATAGTAATAATGATACCAATGACACTGAGGACAGCAGCAGTCAAGACAATGATGATAACCAATTGGATAAAATTGGCAAAAAATTCAAAATGATGAAGAGATCGTTTATTAATCGACCACCAAAATTAATCTTATTTGATGAAATGAAAAATATAATTCATCCGAAATTGATTATGGTTAGAAAATGAAGTGGTGGAGTAGATTTATGTTCTGAACAATTAATTGTTTTATTCGATGTTTATGTTCATAAAAAGAAGATATTGAAATAAACGAAAACCGATACTTTTTTTCCAAGATATACTTCATGATTTTTATTAACGTAAAACAATAAGTATATGAATGTTTACAAATAGTTGACATTAAGTCGAATAGGCTGATATTCTTCAGTCCTCATAGCGTTGATTTTCATCTTTAAACATTTTATAATTGCTAAAATTTTTCTTTGAATCGTGTTCTAAACATTTATCATGAAATGAGATACTTCAGCAGTGTATAGCCATTGTAAACAGAAACGTATAAGTATGACTGAAGTGATCTATTAAAAAAAATAACTTCTTTACGTTCTTGTTTCTTATTACGCCTTCGATTTTTTTGAATGTAAGATTTTCTCTTCTTTGTACTTTGTACAATATTATAGTCAAGAAAAAAAAAAACATCACGAGAGATCCAATATATAGGCTAATTGCCTGTCATTGTGATACTACGACTGTGGATATAAATCATAATATCTTTTTTTATTCTAAACGCATAATTTTTTTCTTCTGATTATTCTTGCTATATTATTATCCATACTTCGCTTATTATTTATATTAAAAATAATGAACGAACTTGTTGACTGTAGTAGGAGAAAATCCTAATAGGACTATGTATAGAAAATTTTTTAAAAACAATAATTATTACGTCGACCTTATTTGAATTATTAACCTTGATTTAACTCAAAAGCAGTGTAACTTGTAGAAAGAAATTTGGTACATTCTGTCAAAATATTGTCGATCATTGCATCATACTACCAAATGAATATTGATCGAAACTTAATTGTGTTAATACTATTTCACTGCCTATTTTTAATTTATTGACAATAAAAGGATTGAAGAAAAACATGCACCACCGAAATATTGCTCTCAATATAGTCGACAATAATTGTTATACAAGCAACATGCACATACATATGTTGTTCTATAATAATATGTTGTTGTCTTTTTAAGGTTATGACCCAGAAAAGCATAAATGGGTTAAGAAAAGAATATAAATAATTTAATTTGTTTTTTTACTCTCCAAGTGGACATTGATAAATCAAATATGTACGGATTTCTATCTACTTATCGAAGAAAAATGCTGAAAATGTATGTTTAAGATTCTAGAGGAATAATTGAAACTGATGGGGAAAAACAAAAGACCTATGTTCGTTTTTTTCGCTGGAAAAGCGTGCAACCACGAAGGAAAAGCCACTTTTTCCACATATCTAACACTCTTAATACTTTATTTTTACCATCCATATTGTTTTTCCCTTGTGTATGGAAGAACTATCTCATCTTTTTTACGTCATAAAATAACGAATGCAAAATATGATTTTCTACAGAAAAGACAGATGACGCCATGTCAACAATAAATCAAAAGAAAGAAAGAACGAAAAACAACCAAAATATTTTTGAGAAATACTAACTTTCTGCGTTTTTCTTATTTTTCATGATGGACATATTATTTACTGAAATTCTTTCTATTTAAGTACTTTAGTGGAAATATAGCGAGCACTCATGCGAACATTCATCAAAAACGCGTTTTGGAATCTTCATAGTGAATAGAGGAGCAAAGGAGGTAAAAAATGATTATTTTGGTAAATTTGTCTGAGATAAAAAGAATTTCTAATTTAATAGGAGCTTCCTTTTGAAAACTGGATATTTTGAAGAATGGAAAATGATATTAGACTATAAAAAAAGACTAAGGGAAAAAATAGTCATATGCATCTGAAAATTTGGAAAATAAATCCCGAATTATCGATAGCGAAGTAATTTATCTTCTAGCATACTTTTTCTTCCAAGTTATTTTTAGAAGGGCAAATCAAGCACGTGACACACCTCTCATGAAAATGTGATATAATACAAATAAAGTACATCTACGCATTTATTTGTATAAAGCAGGATATATGTTCGAGAAAAAAATACAGAACACACAAAAACTAGAGTCTATAGTCCAAAAAAGAGGTATGTCTTGTATATAGAGAATAAAAAGAAAATTTTTGACTATTTTGCTTAAAAATGAAAAACAAAATTTTTTTCGAAGACACACCTCCTTCTTGATCTAGGAGAATTCACGGTATGATGTAAGATGAATGAATCAAAATACATAAACAAAAAAATTGAGAAAAAATATAGGCTATATACATGAAAACATATGTAGATATATTCTAGAAGGAATCTGATTTTGTTAAATACCTGCAAAATTTTACTTGCTATATCAGAATAGCAGAAAACAAAACTACGAACGGTACCATACAAAGTAACTTTTATTATTATTAATATTATTATTATTATTATTATCATTATTACTTTTCAGTTTATAAAATTTGAAAATTAGTTAACAAACAAACGTAATTTGACAAAGGTAAGATAAAGTAATACTTAATTAATAATTGATAATATGAAGTGAGAAAGATTAAATTGAAAATAAATAAAATAAGAAAATCTATATGACACATATACTAGCTCATATAATGTGTCATAAATAATCTTAATGTTTCTAAGTGGATATAAGTATCGATATTTTTTTTTTCAAGTGGAAGTTTAATTTATTTTTTATTATTTGTAAAACGTTATGCCGGGAGTATTTTTTAGTGCACGAATGAGTAGAGATGTCAACAACATAATTCAACTTATTCCATTCTTCTGAGGTTCTGACATGTAAAGAGGCATGAAAAAACAAGTCAAAACTGCATGTTTTTTTGTTTTTTAATGATAGTTACTTTTAATAATTCGCTAGAGTTTGTTGTTTTAAAAATCTTTTGGATTTGATGTTGTAATCATATTAGAACATGTAAGAGTCATTTTTTCGCTTGTTTACTATTCACAAGTACTATCAATGAGAGAATTTTCTTCTTTACAAAAGTGACTCAAAACCCTCTAGTGTTTCTTCAAAAATTGAAGGTATATGAAAAATTTATTATTAGTCGTGAAGAAGAACGTTGGACTGAAACAGAAAAATTCAACTATATATTATATGTACTGTTGAAATGATCGGCAGCATACTCCCATTCACATATGATGATAATGCACGCTTGTCTCATCAACTAGATATTATGCAAATTTTAAGAAATAGATTAGACAAAGCAGTTTAACCAGCGTCGAGAAAATGACAAAATTTGTCTGATTTTCTGAACTCTGAACCTCAATATAAAGTGAGAAGAAAAGACCGACCATTTGTAAATTAGATAAGACTGTGGAACATGTTTATTGTTTGAAACAGGTTTTTTAATAGAAAAATTGAATTATTCCACCATATCGAAGCAGTGCCTTCCTGCATCTTGAGCTCTTAAAACGTTAAAAGACTCGGACTATCAGAAAAACAGAGTTTGGATTTTAATTGAGTACCATCGAAGTAGTCGAAAAGTCTGTGGTCTTTTGAGTGGAAAAAAACTTTTTTCCCGAAGTATTCAGCCAAAATCGAAAATCTGTTTTTCTCATAGCCCCAGATCGAGCACATGAGAAATGTATGTCATTCCACGCTCTGGAATTTCGTGGAATAGCACAGCACTTGTTCAAACCTTGAAAAGCTTTTCTAAGGCTTTCTCTTATATTTTGGAATGTGTTCTGTCTGCTATATATACAGATTCTAATCTGGCAGTTCCAGCTTAAAAATATGTTTTGTTAAAAAATAAAATATGCCCGCAAAAGATCTATTCTTCTGGAATGTTTTCGAAAGAATTATCCATTACTCAGTTTGTTCACTGCAGATATTTGTTATCGCATTCAAGAAAGTTTTTTGAGACTTCTAGTGCTGGAGAATCGTCCATTCTCTCAGCAATATCATTCAAAAAATGATATTCAACAACACGATAAATCAGATTTTATTAATCCACATCATGGATAATACATATGCCTAGTTAAAATGATCAACAAATAAAAACGAGAGATAGAAAGGAAGAGCGTATGTATGAGAGAACAAGAGAAAAAGAAAAACAACAACGAACAAGATAAAATAAAAAAAAAGAGAAAATGTTTATCTTTCATAATACGCGCAAAAACAACAACTAGAATAATAATAAATATGAAATGTGTAACACGGTTCTTTTTTTTCACATAAAACAGGAAACATAGAATTAAAAATAGAAGTAGCCTAACTTGTTTTTTTGAGTCCACCTGTACCTGTACTTGATGATAATAATTTAACATCTCTATTATCAGCATCTAAATCATCACTTTCATCCCTTGTCGTTTCTACCTGCTTTTTGACGAGATTTTTATTTTTATTTTTACTTTTATTCGATGAATTAGTTGTCGATTGTATTAAGGCTCGTTGTTCTCGTCTTCGTCTCAAATGAAAATTAATAAAATTCCACATTAACCATAATTGTATCATAACCATAGAAAACAATGTTAACATTCTCACAGTTGATGTATTAAAATTACTTATAATAACATTCTCATTTCCACCAGAGGTCACTGTTGTTGAAGCAAATTTAATTTTTGGAATAGAATTTGTTTTTAATCCAAACCAAAATGTTAACCAAGCAATAACAACTAAAAATATTTGATAGTTAATAGTAATCATTTTTAAACAAACAAAATGAATATTTATTACCTGATATTAAACGACCAAATACAAATATAATATTCCATAGTGTAAACGTATGTTTTGCATGTTTTATTGTTGTTGTTTGTTTATGATTCGAATAAAAATAGATCATACGAGAACAATGAAAAAATATTTCAATCAAATAATGAATATTTAATAACACTAATGTAATACGCCAAAAACGTGTTAAATAACCGTATAAGATAACTATTAAATATAAACTTGTATAAACAATACGTTTTGGTATATCTTCTTTGCGAATTTTTTGTAAATATAATTCAGGAAAGTTATGTAACCAATAGGATATTTGTATGAGAAAATATAATTTTGTCATGAGTGTCATACCAACATACGGATAATCTATCCATAAATAAGATAAACCGGATTTAAAATAACCTTCATCATTCATTATCATCAACGACCATAAAACACTAATAACATAAAATAATAATAATTGTCCAGATTCATAGAATTTTGAATTCTTTGTTTTTGATAAATGTAATTTTTTTGCAATTTTATCTAGTACATATTCTTGTACAATAGCATGACCCGTAATACAAACTAACGTATAAGAAAATAGAACAGCCAAATCTTTGTATCCATAGTTGAATAACATTTGTGTTATTTTGCTTCCACTACTTGGGTCATTTGTTGTCACATTATGACGAGGACCAAAAAATGCTGTACAATAAGGCGATGTTATATGGACAACAGTACCTAATGCAATAACCATTAGAATACCACAGGCAATATCTCCTAAAAAGACATCGATCAGTTAAAAAGATCACTGTTAAACACACCATGAAATTTTTTTTCTCTTATTGAAAAGTTTCTAGATATGTGTACGTAATGGATTGTTGTGGATAGACTTAGTAATTTAAACGAGTAAAAATGTTAAAATACGAAGAGTTATATTTTTCTTATGATAGAACTTACCATGATTTTGTATTAAATACTCTTGACTGAAGATGGGTGGATTTTTTACACCAGATTTTTTCTTTAACCCTGCCGGTGGTGCCATGCTAACGGGTTAATGTGATGACGAACAAAGGAAAAACGAATAGAAGGGGAGAGAGAGAAAAAGAGAGAAAAAGAGAGAGAAAGAGAGAGAGAGAGAGAAAGAAATTAAAAACTCTAAAAGAAAAAGACAGTCAAGTTAGAACATCATCGTTTCGAAAAAAATTTTAAAATATAGTAACAAGATGACGGATGACACTTCTGAATCTATGACAATACGCATTTCTTTCATTTAACAGAAATTTCCATGTTTGTCAAGTACCGCTTATTCCATTCCAATCTGTGGAGATCGACTACATACACAATGACCTATGGTTAGTTAAGTAGTAAAGAAATACATCTGAAACGTTTGGTTTCTCATAGATATTCTATTCATGAATTTCTATTGAGTGAATTTTTCAAATAGCACAGCTATATTCGTCAACATACGATTCGATTTTGACAAACTTCACCGGTGGCACCGGCGACTCGCTTCATACCTCTATTTTCCAGTAAATAACTAAAATCGATTATTCAAGTAAATAATCAAGAACGATATTAAATACAAACGGTATTTTTTTAGGTTTGATCTATAACAATTTGAGACGGATGGAGTATTGCGCTAAAAATCAATTATTGGATAAATTACCGAAGGAACTGCTTAGTTATGTTCAAGAAAAAAGTGAATTGTGTAAACCTGATCATATATATGTATGTGATGGTAGTGAAGAAGAAAACAAAATGTTATTAGCGGCAATGGAGAAAAATGGTGAAATAAGAAAATCGAAAAAACATAAAAATTGGTTAGATTATAATGTTCTTTATCGTACTCTACTCTCAAAAAACTATAATCTAAACTATTACTTATTCTCATTCTAGTTGGCTAGCAACAACTGATCCACGAGATGTAGCTCGAGTAGAATCCAGAACAATCATATGTACAAAAAATCAACATGATGTTGTCTCAACACCAAAAAGGTAATATCATAATTATCTTTTCTATTACAAGTTTATTTTATATCTCTTTCTTTTCTATTTTATCTATTTTAGTGGTTTCCGGCCAATAGTAGATCCAAATATGCCAAATATTAAACAAACAGCGTTGGGAAACTGGATGGATACCGATGAAATGATACTAATTTTAAACGAACGCTTTAATGGATGTATGAAAGGTCGAACAATGTTTGTTATTCCATATATGATGGGACCATTTAATTGTCCATATTCAAAAATTGGTGTTGAATTAACTGACTCACCGTATGTCGTTTGTAGTATGAGAATAATGACACGAATGGGTGAACGTGTATTGAATGAATTAAATAAAGTTGAATCACCAAATTTTATTAAATGTTTACATTCTGTTGGTGTACCATTGCCAGCACAAGAACCAATTATTAATAATTGGCCATGTAATCCAGCTAAAACGATCATCACACATTTTCCAGAACGAAATGAAATAATAACATTTGGCTCAGGATATGGTGGTAATTCATTGTGTGGAAAGAAATGTTTTGCATTACGAATTGGTAGTATATTAGCAAAGAAGGAGGGATGGTTAGCTGAACATATGCTTGTAAGTAAAAAAAAGTCATATAATAAATAATATCTATGTATTCTTTTATCTTGACAATTTTACTCTTCTAGATAATGGGTGTAACAAATCCAAAAGGAGAAAAGAAATATTTTTGTGCAGCATTTCCAAGGTAATTTAATTATCAATACAGTTAAGTTTATTAATCATAATTATTTTGTTTATTTCCATTAGTGCATGTGGAAAAACAAATTTAGCTATGTTACAAAATCGAGATATCATACCCGGTTATAAAATTGAATGTGTTGGTGATGATATTGCTTGGATGCGTTTTGATGAAGAGGGACGTTTACGTGCCATTAATCCAGTATGTAATAGTCAATAACTATATAAATCAAAATTTTTGATATTTTTCTTCTCATAGGAATTTGGATTTTTTGGCGTTGCACCTGGAACATCGCAATCAACAAATCCAATTGCTTTGGGTAATTTAATAATGAATATAATTTATTTAAAACTGCTATTATTTGTTTATTTGTAATAATATTTAGAGATGATCAAAGAAGATACAATATTTACTAATGTAGCTGAAACTAGTAACGGTGACGTTTATTGGGAAGGTTTAGAAAATGATGTCGATTTAAATAATGTCACAATAACATCATGGAAAAATCAGCCATGGCAAAAAGGTTCAAAAGAGCCGGCAGCACATCCAAACAGTCGATTTTGTACATATGCTTCACGATGTTCAATAATTGATCCAAATTGGGAAAGTCCAGAAGGTGTTCCAATTGAAGCAATTATATTCGGTGGTAGACGACCAACGGGTGTGCCATTAGTGTACGAAGTATTTGATTGGGATCATGGAGTGTTTGTTGGTGCAACAATGAGATCAGAATCAACAGCAGCAGCAGAATTTACAAGTAAGAATAACTGTAGTCATGATAGATATAGACAGGCTAGTAAAACAAGAATTAGTCAAAAAAGTTAATGAAAATCACATAGTAATAGTATTATTTAACAACGTTATAAAATAAAATTACTCTACGTCAATTAATTTAACGGAATATCAATTATATTTTTGTTTACTAGATAAACAAATAATGAATGATCCATTTGCAATGCGTCCATTTCTTGCCTATAATTTTGGTCAGTATTTATCACACTGGTTATCAATCGGTCAAAAACCTGGCTTAAAATTACCAAAAATGTTTCATGTCAATTGGTTTCTAAAAGATCCTATAACAAATCAATTTTTATGGCCTGGTTTTGGTGAAAATATTCGTATTATTGACTGGATATTTCGTCGTTTAAATAATGAAAATTGTGCAATTAAAAGTCCAATCGGCTATTTACCAGAAAAAGGTTCAATTAATTTGACTAATTTGAAAAATATTAATATTAATCAATTATTTCATATACAAAAAGATTTTTGGTTAAAAGAATGTAAATCAATTCGAGAATATTTTGTTGAAAATGTTAATGATGATTTACCAAAAGAAATGTGGACTCAATTAGATTTATTAGAAAATCGGATACAACAAATACCAGCAATAGAAAGAGAAAAATGTGCATAACTACATAATCAGTGATGATAATGGTGTGTGAACTTCTGATAATATACCACAGGTGATTCTACATATCGATGCTTTTATTTTTTAATTTTTTTCTCTTCTACTGCGGCTCTTACTGCGGGTTTTTTTTCTCTTTTTTTTTTAATTCTTTTAATGTTAATCTCTTTATAATTTTTAGATTTTGCTCCATGTATATAGATCTTTTTTCCTTTCCTCAAAACATATGCCCTTTTTACATACTGCTCTTTTCGTTTCATGATAATATTTCGAAAATATTTAAACACATTTTATCATTCTCTGCACCTGCTTACATTTTAAGATGTTTTTAGTTTCAAATTTATCTAATAAATACATTCTATTGTAAAATATGTGGACAAACGAATCAATCTTTTAAAATTATATTATCAATAGTTAACGTCTAGGATAAAGCTGACAACATGTGTAGATGATATAATCATTTGATGAAATGAAATTAATCAGTTTAACACTTATTTAAAAAATTTACGATAGAATAATCGTTACTGTATTCTAAAATTACTTTTTTTTTTGTTCAGATATTCAGTGCAAAATAGCAAAAAAGATATATTCAATATTAAAAGTCTAGAGAAAAACAAGATCTGATAGATAATGAACTCTAATACTACAATCTGACTACAACTGTTTCTACCGTATACTCTATCATCTTTATTTCTCTCAGTACCGAATGAAAAAAAATGAGAAAAACATCATAAGAAACTTTCTCTTTTTTTATTATCTTTTTGAATACAACACGCCAAATAAAGAGGAAAACAACGACGCATAAATGAGATTAAACAAGTTCGTTTATATCAGAAACATTCGACAGACAATAGAAATTTAACAAATCGTACAGGAAAATCACATACAAAAAAAAAGAAGAAAAATATGATGACATATGTAAATAATTCAAAATTTATTTCAGCTCAAACAAACATAGAAGAAGGATCATTAAAAAGTTGATCTGAAAATGAGTATGATAATTTCTAAATGAAAGTTTATTTTAAAACACAAATTAATTTCAAAAAAACGACAATAGCTTGAAAAACACTACCAGGAAAAAAAATGAAGACAGAGTTACACGTTCATATATATATATACAAAAAAAAAACAAAAAAAAATGAAATTTTCTTCTCCAACAGATACATACAAAAGAGACATTATTGTCTTAAACAAAACTTTTATATAGAAGTGTTTTTGTTAATTTAAGCGTCACTTTCGGTACCACTCTTACTATCAGGTGAACCATGAGTCGCGGGCGAATTTATTCCATTTGCAGATGATGGTGGACTATTATTATTATCACTATTTATTGTTGATGACACTGTTTTGACTGGTGTTGTCGATTGTGATGCTGATGATATTGTGACAGTAGTTGTCATGATTGTTTCTTGATTAACACCACTTATTGGTACAATTAAATTATCTTTTGGAATTAAATTATATCGTAGAGCAAATACGGTAAAACGTCGACATAAATGTGTACGATTTTCAAATTCATCATAGATATGACGATGATGATAATAGGCATGGGAAAATATACGATAAATTCGACGACATACTGAACCCAATTTCGCTATAGATGTGTCTTTTATACTGACTCTAATAAAAGAACAGAATAGTTAATAAAAAGTAATTAGATAGTAAACATAAAAAGATATTTTGTAAAAATTTTATGAATTAACTGTAAATTACTCATAAATTAGATAAGATCACAAACCTGCTTGGAAAATATTTGTTGCTATTTAGCAATGAAGCTGCTCCATCGAGTGTATGTCTTGTATAATCAATTGCAGGACACTTAAATTAGATTATTAATAAACTAAAAACTTTCATTAATAAGATTATACTATTACTACCTCTTTTGGATTTTTGTGTGCAGCACATAAAAAAATCCATTGTTCCGTGGCAGTCATTTGTGAGCATGTTTCTGGCAAACATTCGCGCTGTGTAAACAAAAAATAAGTAGTAAAAATAGAAAAATTTTAATTATAAGACAATATATCGATCTATTAGAACAGTAGTACAATAACCTACTTGTAATCGAACAGTTAAATCATTTAATTCAAGACAAAATTGTCTCAAATGTTCATATTTCCATACACCTTCGTCTTGTTGATCAGGAGACGAAAGTATAAAATCAATATCAGCTGGATTTCGTCGAATAGATTGCTGAATATACTAGAAAGATATAAAACGTAGATAATAAACTTTTTTTTAAAAAAATATACTTTAGATAGATACCTGTTGAATATGATAAAGACTATCCATATTTTCAGAATTTTCTTCTGGCCAATGGCACCAATCTTTTGCTTTTGTACCCGGTCTATTCCGTCTTAACGGTAGTTTTGTGTTCACTTGTAAATCGGTCATCACTTCAAATTTGTATCTACAATAGAAAAATTATCAAGAAACTCTTCACATGTACTATGACATTTTCTCAAGCAGAATGCATAATACTGTAACAGATTTCTTTTGATCACAGCACTAACCTCTGAAACTTCTCCGTATTATTCTAAAAGATTCGAGAAAAATATGGTTTAATAAACAGGAAACATTATTATTATAGTTTGTATTTATATGAGAAAAAAGTAAATAAAAAACAACAATAACTGTCTTCATTATCACTGTGGTTATTGATATTCTAAAATAAGCAAAACAAAAACATCAGAAAGTTATATAACTACAAAAAAATACATGTGTTTTTATGAGATAAACAGATATTCAAAACAATTTTTAGAGCTTCTTGGAAAATTTTAAAATACGCAATAAATAGTGACACTAAACATTCATTTGGTTTAAATTGTTTTTTCTATGAAATCTTTTTATAAACCAGATGATATTTTGATCAGTTAATATCTGTCATATTTACGGCATATTTCGATGTCGAGGTCTTCATTGATTCATATTCATCCACAACTTTCTTTAAATCAATCACATGATCATCCATCGAGTTAATAATCGTATGAGATGCGCACAAATCTCAAAAAAATGCCAGTGACTTGGTTAAGATATAGAAAATTAGCTTGTGTCAATGCAATGCACATCAATTTATTCTCTAGAAAGAAAATAAATTCATACAGAATTAATGTAAATAAATATGATTTTGTTGTAAAATAACACAGAAGCTGCATAAGGCATTAATGTCGAAAGAAGACATACTCTCTGAGTTTTATTTTTAATGGTTATTTATAGACGAATAGAAAATATTTACCGCACACTGTCACATCTACTGTTCTAATCTTTAAATAGATTTGTCAATGATTGATTTCATCTTGTTTCATGCACGATTGTCTATTTCTGTTAACTCACTGCTGATGAACTTCTGATATATTGTTGTACGTTTTCTTCTATATGATGTTTCCCAACAAATTGCCCCCTTAATCTGCAGTGCTTACTTATTGTCGGATAATTTTTGATTTCACTGATTCGTCACATTAAGAGAGTCTATTCATATACCAACATTAATCAAATCAATTTGTGTTGTTTCAGGTATTTTATCGAATGAAGACGAAAATGGTTGTAATACTTTTACAATGAACAATACATTATCTTCACCATACATTTTATTACTAGGTATTGGATACTAAAATTAGATTTTTAAATAGTATACAACTAGGGTGAGACCAAAAAATGTATACCTAACTTGCAATAAATAAAATTAAATCAAAGAATAATGATATTCAATATATCAATTGTATTAAATCGTATTTAATCACTTCTTCAATTATAATGATGATTTCTCTGAGCAATACGCAATTTTATGTATAAATTTTCACAATGGAATAGACATAGTCTAGAACAGATATGACAAAACAGTACGCAAGGTTTAGCAATAAATATTTGATAACTAAACTCTATAAGTCATCTTTTTTTAAGATAAATAGTTGCAAATAAACATGATAATATTACTGATCAAGAGATTCATGATAAAATTGATCTCAACTGTTCGAACATACAACTTGGTAACTTCGATAAACTATTTATTTACTCAAATTTATTTGAAATAGTAAAATTTCAAATGTAACCAATATGTGTACGGTATACTATAAACAAAGTTATTATGATATTTTCTTTGATCTTATCATAGACAACTGTTTTGCACAAGATTGCTAATCGTTTCTTCAAATATTCTGTTTCTGTAACATTTTTCGTCACACATGAATTTGATACACAGTAAATGCATATATATGATTAAGTAAGCCTTTTTTTTATCGAGTCATTGATCAAAAAACATCTTCTGACTTATTCAGATTGAAAGGCAAGGAGAACAAAAAGGATTATGAACGTATCAAAAGATAATTTCATCGTTAAAGCAGGTAACTATAACCATACAAAAAAAGTAGTTATGTATCAATAAAAAAATAGCTGATTATTTAAATAAATTTCTTCTCGATAGACAACAGTTATTAATTAAAACAACATAAATAAAATAGATGTGAAAAATAACAAGTTTGAATAACGACATAAATAACTAGCTAGTGTCGATACGTCGAATATTCCACTTTAACCCATATTTACAAAATAAAAATAACATAATTGTGCAACAAATCTATCCGTGTATGTTGAAATAAGTTTGATGTTTGTAAAATGCAATATTTTGAGCGTCTAGTTATGAACAGAAATAACCGGAAGACTATATATAAAAATCCAATACTAAGCACATTAGATCTGATCTTAGTAAACTCAATACGAAAAAAGCAGTGTACTTCATAGGTTCCGTGTAGTTCACAGAGTTTAAAAAGCAACTGGAGTACGGTTTTTCCTACTTGAAATTCAAACAACTCTTCTAAAGGTGAAGTAATTTCTTTTGATACTTTAATTTGAGTTGATCAAATTTGAAGCATCTGTTCTCAGAATATACATACGGACTTGCTACCTTCATACGCACAATAACATTTAAACTAACCATCTTACCACAGGAAAAATCAGCAAGAAATCCCTGCTGTTACAGATCTACACGTGAAGACACTGGAATGGAGCGTAATTCATATTTTTTCGATAAATGTTCCGCTACTATAGTCATAATAACAACACACAAAAATTGTGTCATATACCAAACAAATGTTCGTGGAATAAACCCATTATAACACCAACATGCTAGAAAATGATAAAAATGAATAGTCGTTGAAAAATCCAAACATTGTTTGTATCGTCCCACAACATAAACAATTACCAAACCACTAAATGAAAAATATGAAAAAGAGAGATAAATATGCCGAATGAAAAAAAAGAGAGCAAGAGATTTACCTATTCAATGCATTTAACAGAAATACACCGGAAAATAATAATCTACCGCCCCAAATTGAAAATTTTACACTCTATATAAACAATAACATCTTGAAAGATTTGTATGGATGAAAAATAACTATACTTACATCGTATGCAAACACATATTCAAGTGATGGTACACGATCCATAGCAAATGTCAGTAGCAAAATCCAAAAACCAAGACCCAGATAATACAATGTTTGAACAGCCACTATCTGACTAATAATCAAAACAGGATCCCACATATGACTACGAAATCCATTCATTCTCTGAATTTTATTCAACTCTCAAATGATGTAGGATGTTGTTTTGATTTTTTTATGATGGTGTTGTTTCTATTATAGAAATATTTAATAAACTATAAATGCACAGAACAAATAAAACGATATTTGTCATCTAAAATAAGAATTGAAAAAAGAAATTCATTCTGATACATCCAACTATTTGTACTAGCCTCTCTAACAGCATGGTTTCGGACTAAAAGAAGGCTGCAGCCTTCTACTTCATCAAACAGATACTCCTGAACAGTTCGTTTAATATTGAATGGATATTTTTGCAAAAGTAGTGAGCAATTATCAAGAAAAGAGCAGGTTCGTTTTGTGAATTCCGCAATCTTAGTTGTACCACTTTCAACAACTGACTGTATATCATTCGATTCTATGCTATTTAAGATTATAGCTTAGCCAACGTAATAAAAAAGCATTTGCCGAGCTCTTTAAAAGAAACAGTTAGAGCAACAAAGCTAAACCTTTGTTCTTACAGTATCTTTTACTCGACACTCACTCATTTATACACAAAACACCTTCATGTATATTATTTTCATTTTTGTTCTCTTTCCGATAACAGATCAAATAAGTAAATACAAAATAGAAAATAATCAAAAACAAATGATCTTTATATATGTTTTTCATTTTTTGTCTTTCATAGATGAAATAAATTTAGACAACAATACAAAACAAAAAAAACTATATTGTTGTTTGTTTGTTTCTTTAACGGCGACGTCGTTTTACTTTAGATTTTACTTTTCCACCTAAAATGAATAAAACAAATCAAAGTTAAGAGAAAAGACAATATGACTCTTGTTCGATAGTCACTACTGGGTTCTAATACAGCTCTGAGTCTTTTAAGAAAACATCCCATAGTTATTTTGTCAAAGAAACAGCATTCGAAACATTTTTCTTTTACCTGGCAGTATGACACCTTCATAAGTTTGTTGAAACCATTTGATTGCTTCATCTTTTGTAATACGATGTGGAGCACCGACACGTGACGTTTTATGTTTTCTATAGGCAATATTAAAGCCAGCTCGACCCATAACAACATAAAAATCCATACCGTAGATACCAATCGATGGATCATATTTTATACCCAAATCAATATGTTCTTGAATGCCAAAACCAAAATTTCCCAGTTCACTGAAATTTCCTTTGTGCAATTCATATTCTTTTACTTTTAATCCTTTTTCTAATATTTCTTTGGCTTTTTCACCACGTACCGTACAAAAAACACCAATTTTTTCATTACGACGAATACCGAATGAACGAACAGTATATCGAGCTTTTGAAAATACTGGAGTTTGACCTGTTAACTGTTCCAATACTTTACTAGCACGTGTTAAACGATCACCACTTTCACCAACACTAGAAGAAATATTTTGTTAAATTATGATCATAACATACTTATTTATGAAATGAGAGCCACTTGATCACTGCTACCAAACTCCTAATGCTAGCTACAATATGGTATTTAATTTGCCACTGTTTAAACAATTGATAACAATCAAAAAAACAAGTTCAAGTTTTTTCTATGTTTACTTACTCTATTAGGAATTAAAAATATTGTTTTACAAATATAAGTATGAAAATTACTTACCAAATATTTAAACACAATTTTCTTATACGTAAATCACGCATCGTATTTTTTGATTTATCTTTACCGCCTTTTTTTACGCGACCACTGGTGACGCCTGTTTTTGTTGCTCCTGACGTTGTTGTTGCACCAGCAGCTACGATGCCCTTTTTAGCTGGCATTTTTTTCTAAATTTTTTTGTGAATAAATCTTAAAGGAGACAAAAAAAACAAATAAGCATTCTGCAAAAAAGATTTTTATGCCGTCATAGAGAAGTCTGAGAAATGCGGTGTTATTCTAGCATTCTCTCCCATTCACATTGTCTCTTATTATAATCACAATTTAAATATAGAGAAAGATGTCTGTTTTTCTCAAATTGAGTTAATTTCGGAAAAAAAGTATAAAAGTGTAAACATACGCACAAAAAGAAATGGAACAAGTTGCCAATCACGCGTTCGAATAAATTAAAAAAATCTGATAGGCAGAATAAGAAAAGAAGAAAAAAAAGAATCGTTGACAGCAAAGACAAATGGAATTAAAAATGCTCAAGTAAGTCTGTTTGTCATATTTTTGCCCAGAAAAAAAAAACAAGAACAAACAATTACATTGCAGCTAATGTTGATCGTTCAAAATGTACAAGACCAAAAACACAACAGCAACAAAAAAGCTTTCAAATCACCGAGTTAATAAAACAAAAAAAGCAAAAAGTAGAGAAAGAAAGGAATGGCGATCAATATGTGACAACAGCAGAACAAATCAAACTAACGTAGTATAAATAAATGGTAAACAAAACTAAATGAGCGCTGCTGACTAGAACAAGCAAATAAGAAGAGGATCGATTGTAGAAAAAATTTCATTATGTCCACAAAACAAAGTTTAAAAAGAAAAAAATTAATAATCTATCAAACATGTATTAGATCCTACTGATTAATTTGTAAACCTTTAAATTTTTCTATGTTTGTTTCTAATTGAGCTTGATTACGCATATAATCAAATGTTTTTCGTATTTGATTATTTATAAATTCAACACTTTCATTATTTTGTTCTAAACGTGCAGATTCAGTACGAAGTTTTTCTATTATTGTATTCAGAACGGCTATGTCAATCTAAACAAATAAAATGAGAATTATTCATGCGATATGTACGTAAGAACGACAGACAAAAAAATGTAGAACTCTATTTAATGAAGTGCTTACATCTGGATGATTTTGTTTAAAAAAGTAGAGATAGTAGTTTAATAATTCATTATACAATTGTATTTGCGCCGCTAAATCCATTACTTGTGTGGTCAACTTTGCCGCTTTTTTCAAACAAGCATTAACCTTTTCACCATCACGAATCTACACAGCAATAACAGATAAGAAAATAAAGTATCTTATATTTTGCAAAGATTCAATATACAAATACCTCTTCTATATTTCCCGCTTCATTTTTGCGTTTAGCACTCCAAAATAAATGTGTACATAACAATAATGCTCGAACTTGATCAGGACGTTTTAATAAACGTGCCGCCGCCTGAGTTAATGATTGTCGTAATGTTGAATGGTTTTCTTCATTGAAACAACTGACTTTTTCTAATGTACCAATTAAAACTTTTAACGATTCAGCTTGAGCTTTGGTATCACCAGCTTGTTCTTCATATAGAACATACGCCTAGCACACAAAATATAGAAAAACAATTTATTTATCGTATTTAGAAGGTATATACAATATACTTGTGATAGAAATTCATATGCTATTGTTTCAGTACTTTCTGTGTCAATTTCACTAGCCGCTAATGAGCCCTGTAAATATAATCTTAATGGTAAATCGTTTGACTCTGGCTTTGTTAATAAAGTAAGACATTGATTACAAAACTGAAAGAGCTTTTGACATTTTTTCTCCCATTTTTCATCCTGTAAATTAATTTGTAAAACGATGATTATGTTCCTAAAATATGTTTGATTGGATTTATACCTGATCTTTTATTGCTTTATAACGATAGACTAACGCATAAGCTTGCATTATTAATGGCGGATAGGTAAACCGCATTCGTTCAATGCCACCATTTTTAAATACATCCTGACAAATCTTCAGAATCTAAAATAAGTAACTGTCTGAAATGTTATTACTGTATACTTTATATCTGTTATTTTAATTGGATAAAGTTTTAAAAGATAGATAATTAAAATCAATTAGATTGAACGACTAATAGAAACTTACATGATATTGTTGATCAGCATCAGTCGAATGTAGATTGTTACACAATCTTGCTACTAGATTCTGTTCTTCGACAAAATCTTCATTTGCAATATTTTGTTTTGATGATTCAAACGCCGAATCCGATTGATCAACTACCAATGTAGCTAATAGATCTAATAATAGTGTGACCTAGAATCAAAATAATGCTATATCCGTAAATCAGATTGTCTTGAGTAAGAGAGCATACTACTTACTTCTTCTGCTGTTGGTATAATTGTTTCAGTATCTAATATACCATTAATTATATACGTACAAACAGTATGTCGCTCACGATAACTCAATAATTGTAATACTTGACTATAATGTTTAAGTTTTAATACTTCTAAGATAGTATAACAATCAATGGGTACTTTTAACATTTTAACAAGTTCTTTTGCTGCATATGAACCCGTTTGAACTCTTAAAAGAAAACGAAAAAATGTGTAAACTGTAGTTTGGAGAAATTTTCATTAAACAAGTACATACTGCATATTAGGAGTGACCTCATCGAATATTTTTCTTGTAGATTCCAAAACCTAAAATAATATCATTGTATTCTCATATACATAAATTTCTCTTAAATCCTACTTTATCACCATAATCTAGTTCATCACGATAACATTTCAATGCAAGACTAAGAAGTGCACTTTGTAATGCAACAATATCTTCGGGAGGCATGTTTGATCGACTCTAAAAAGAAATAGAAAAGTATTTGACCTAGTGAACGCATTTAAATTATGCTTTCTTGCTTACTTTTATCACTTCGGATATTTGTTCAGAGAATATATCGAATAATTTGATTGTTTCCAGTATACTTTGTTTTACACCGTCACGTATCGAATAAGAAGTTATACTAGAAAACAGTATCAACTCTAGCCTTACGTTTCACTATTTTGCGCTGCTACTGCTGCTTACCGATCGATCAATGATATTAAAATATTGCGAATATTTACTGTAGGTGCTAATTCACGACAACCTTTTAAAAATAAGTTCAATGTATGTAAATGATATTCATCAGGAAATACCTGAAAATACGAAGAAAAATAATTAAAATTTATATTACTTTTATACACCACTCACTTGTATGATACATTCCATTAGATATTCTTGGGCTATCGAATCTTTACAACTGACTACTTGTTCCATTATTTTTGGCAAAACAATCTTAAAAAACAACAACATGCCTTTCGACTGCAGATGTACAAAAAGTTTAAAGCAGTTCAGAAAGTATGTGAATCAAAGCGCTCATACAGTGTCAAATCCTGTATGACTTTAAATTAATTCCAGACAACTTTCTTGATGATGAGTTAGGATACAAATAATATAAAAATTCAAACGAATAAAATTTATTTACGTACGGTTTTATATCTGTCTACACTGACACATTCCAGTTCACTTAAACGCACCAAATTTGTTCCAACAAGAATTCTTAGTTCACGTCGTTCTGTTTCACGACGTTGTAAATCTCTAGAAATAATGAAAGAATTATTTGAAATTAATACATTTAGTGAGATCAATTACCTAGTATGGCCTTGATATTGCATTCGAACCCAGAGTTTGTTCATTTCAGCAAAGTTAAGTAAAATAAAGTCGAGTGACTCAAGTATTGTACCCGTTTTGTTCTCATCCCTAGAAGATAAAACAAAAATCAAAGTGTTTTGTACTTGACTGTTCAAGATTAACACTTACGGACTTTCCTGTTCTTGATCTGGTAATAAACTTTTGACACATTGTAATAAATAGTTTCTCAGAAACAGACCGCGTAATGGATGTTGAACTCCACGACACATTTCGACTAAATCACGTAAAATATCTTTTCGAGAAAGTTCATTAGCACGAATATAAACATGACCAATTGTAATTAGTAGATATCTAAATAATACAATAACTATAGTAGTAAGAATTCTCAGGATAGTGACGAACTGCTTAATGTGAACCTCTGAACTTGACTGCAGTATGAGGAACCTACGAAGAGTACCTCCCGTTTTGTTATCTACTCAGCCTTTGTGCTAAAAATCAAGGGACTCCACATATCTTTCTGATTAAAGAAAAAGTTTTATTTTGTACATACAATCTCGGTACGATGTTTCCAGCATATTGTACAACTTCATATAAATCGTGACTTCCACGTCCATGTTCAAATTCATCTGTTAAATACAACTCTAGATGATGCAATTCTTCAACAACCACGACATCTGAACAGAAGAGTATTTGAGTCAAAGATCTCTTTTTATATTTTGGATACAAAAATAAATTGTTGAAGTACATTTAAAAGGATACGAAGTTCGTAATAATTTTTAGGCGATAATAATGATGTACGTAGTTCGCTCAACATATTGGCAGCATGTTTCAATCCATCCATCACTACTCCCTGATCCTAAAAACGAAGAAAAGATAATGACGAGGATAAATATGAATTACTGGAAATTAGAGTAAACTTACTAAAACTCTTTTCATCGAAAAGGCATGTTGGCGAACATTTTGAAGTGCATCGGCAAGTAGTTTTTCTTGATTTTCCATTGAAAATGCATTTTGTTGATTTGCGATGTTGTTACTACTTCCATTATTTGTCTGCTTCTATGAATATAAAACATAAATCTTATTTCTCCATATTATATATTGCAGCTGTAGTAAGACATACCATTGAAGTAGAAGTGTGTTTCAAGTGGTAACAATCAGACAAAATAAATTTTGTAATCTAAGAAAACGTCAGTAGAAAGTAGCCGTTAAACTACATCAATCTTAACTATAAAATGTAAAGGCTTCTTAATGGCCCACCATTAAAGTGTGAAATCATGGACTATCTCGTCTAGACCACTAATGGATTCACAAGTTAGCATGATAGTAAAACAAAAATGCTAAGAATCACGGTTATTTTCGATCAGTAGGAATCTATGTATATCACTGAGATGTACCTCTACCTACAACATATTGTTCCAGCCGGAATTAGGATCAGATTTACCGTAAAAAAGAAAAATTTGTTGTTGTTTATCTTTTTTTTAGGTCGCATCACCAGACACCATTCTGGTGTCGCGAGCTAGACTTGGGGAGGATATTTGTAATGACGACAGAAGTTAGAAATCCAAAAGCAAATAGTTCCTCATAAAAATACGTCATAATACAGCCTTGGAAACTTGCATGTATCACAAGTTGTTCTGGGATAGCGCCACTTACACACTAACCGAAGCGCCACAATAGTCTCTCATAGCGGCTGCTAGAGATACAGTTATTATATACAGCGGATTTTAAAGCGTGTAGAAATCTTTCAGATAGTTACAAGAAATTATGTTAAGAATATTATAAAATCGATCATTATTGTCTCAAAAATAGCAAGCATATCGACGTTCAGGAGCGCAAATACCGGGAGAGTGTGGGAGGCTGCGTACCTCCCCGAATAATTGAAAAGTTGTTGTTGTTTTATCCATTATTCCTCGCAGAAAAACCTTTTTTATCGATTTCACACTACCTCAAAGAGAAATTTTGTCTTACACCCTCCTAATGTTCTGTTTCTATTTGCGGCCCTGTCAACGCTTCTAAAGGGATGGACACAATAGAGGACCCGGGTCTTGTATTGCGTCCCAGCGCTCATAACTCTGAAGGGGGTCTTCTAAAGCGCCCCTAAAAAAGCCGATTTTGAGCTGAAATCGCTTGATCGAGATTTCGCACTGTGTACAAAGTTGCTAATTCAGCTGATGACCGCTGTTTATTTTGTTCTTTTATCATTCTAGCAGCTGAGGAAAAGGACGAACGCAAAAATTATGTTTGATTGAACCCTGAAACCATTATATTTTAGGTAAAAAATCGATAAAAAAAGGGGTTCTTCTAACGTGGTTTTTGCGTTATGAGTTCATGATCCAGGTTGACGAAAACTGGCATTTAATTGTCCATTAACAGCCTGTTAACTGTATGCCAAAAAATAGCCTGTTAATTGTGTAAAAATCGAATGAAAATTGGCATTTGATTTTCCTAAAATAATTTAAAGTGTTTCTCTCCTTCAATTATACGAGTCATAGAAACTTGCCTCGAAGAAGTGGTCTATGGTTCTTGACTCGATGCAGGTGATACGTACCTCAGGTTCAGAAGATATTTTTTTGACATTTTCTAACGGTCTAACAATTGATATTTAAATGGCAAAAATATGTGACCAGTAGGGTTACTGGCAGCAGTTAAATGCCTGCCCTAGACATCGATTCTTATATAAGGATCTTACAAGGCGCTCACAAGAAACATACAAAATACTTATCAGCTTTTTATAAGTTTCTGATAAGATTCTTACAAGATTCATATATAAGATGTTGCACGGAAGTGACAAGAAATTCACTGGTTCTGATAAGATTCTTATAAGATATTCATAAGAAAGTGATAAGACGGCTTGTTACTTTCT